GACCTTGAGGGCCGCCCCCTCCCCCAGCTGCCCCCTGACTCCTGCCAACCTGCCAGCCCTGAAGGACCCCCCATACATCATCCCAGGGTCACCTGTACGCCGCTAACGAGTTCTACAGCGGGAAACTAACGAGCTGCTAACGACCATAAATCATCAGCACACTTACGAGTGTGGGCAAGTCTCCGCTTTACAACTTTGGGAAAGTTATGGTCGTTCTTTACCAGGACTTGATTTATTGCTTGGGTCAGGCCAATAACATTCTGGGGAACACAACTGTAAATATAATGAGAGTGATTGTTTCCACGTATATCAACTTTGAAACTTTCTCTCTCAAGTAAACTTTATACAGTATTAGAAAAGTTTGAGTTGTTTCGTTCCTGTGTGAGAAAACAAGTGCTGCCATCACACTACAGCCACACGTTGGAGTCAAACCAATGCATTTTATTGAGGACAGACATTGCTACCAGTAAATAGTATAGAGTGATATTATGTCTCTGTAGCCAGCTCAGTTCCTGAGATGCAACACCAGTTCTCCTATCAGTCTGATAAGCCTCTGTGGAGGACTACATTGTGTTCAATCAATTTAAAGCGTTATCACTATCCTTGTGTTCAAAGTGTTACCACTATCCTAAATGATCTCATAAACTCAAGGTTTCTTGTTTTCTCTCCGAAAAGTACAAGTTAGAACAAGGAGGTTGACCTCCTTGGTTAGAACAATCTCCAAACAGATCTTTTTATGGGTACAAGACAGCATCAAATAGGTTAAAGGCAGTATCCGGCCAATATGCTGCCTTTTGGCGGGCAAAAAAACAACAACAAAAAAGCAGAAGCTGGTACAAAAAAAGAAACTCTGACGAAAATACCTAAAAAGGCATCAAAAACTGAAGCCCAAACTTCTGCTTTGAGAGTACAAGAACAGGAGTTGAGTCCTCTGTGTTTCCCAGTCCCAGCCCCTCCGTGTTTAGGCTGGATGTGTAGGAATTTCAGCCGTAATTTGTCGGCAGGTTTCGGCCGGCCCCGCCGTCATTCCAGTGCTCCATGCAGACTTACTCCCGGGGGAGCCCTTTGCCGGAGAAGCAGGGCTCCCCGAGGGCCGCCTCTCTGTGTAGTTCACAATTACAATAGTGCCGGGGGTAACCTTGCGGTGCAGGGGGACTCTGGGTCGCAGTAAATCACCCACGATCCAGGCAAGTCCATTGTCCCGACAAACAAAGGCCCTGGGGTCAGCACACATCCATCCAACTTCTCCTGACATGTACAAATGGCCGCACTTCAAGCAACTTCAAACAGCCGTAACCTACTTCTTAAGTAAACACCAAGACGTCGCTCCACACTGTCATCTGTCTTAGAGACTTGAAGTTTGTGCCAATTAAGAATCTTGAAGTCATGGAGAAGGTTAGAATTGTCTTGAAAGTTCATCTGTGTTGGTAGAAGTCATTATGAACGAGATTGAAGTTGTTTTTGTGTTGGCAATTACAGTTCAATCTTGTTCATAAGGATAGAATTGAACTGTTGAGCAGAGTTGAGGGATGGCCTGATGCTACAGATGTCAGGTCACCTGTCTGCACACCTGGTCGGACTCACCTGGCCGGCACAGGTAAACCAGGTGTGGGCTGAATGATGAGCACTTGAGAAGCACACAGGTAAAACTTGTGTAACAGTAAACACTGCATTTGTGCTTATGAAGCAGAGTACATGTATAGTTGTGGTGTAAGCTGGTTTGACTGTCAGTTTTACAGTACAGGAGTAGTGGAAGACTTTAGCGCTACATTTTCTAGTCTAAAGTACAGGAATAGTGGAAAACCTCAGAGCTTAGGCTACATACAGTACAGCATGGAGGTAGAAAAAACACATCAGTACAGAAATACTGATACTGGAAAACTTAAGAGCTAGGCTACAGTACAGGAACAGTGCCTGTACCTACACAGTACAGGAGTAGTGGAAACTTGTGAGCTAGCTAGTCTACGGTACAGGACAAGTACCTGAACATACACAGTACGGGAACAGTTTAAAACTTGAGAGCTATAAGGCCACAGTACAGGAATAGTGGAAAACTTGAGAGCTAGTCTACAGCACATTTATAGTACATGAGTCATGGCAGTGAGGATGATTCAGTGATCAGCAGCAGATAACAGAACCACAGGAATGTCTGCACTGACTACAGAACCACCTGGCTGGGCTGGAAGTGTGTTACAGGGCTTCTAACAGCCTGAATCCTGAGATTAAACAAGTGACAGCAAAGATGAGGTCATTTTTTGATTCCGTATCATTTTCAGAGGGATTTGATTTCGTGGAAGCCGGGAAATGAGTCTTTTGCAGGGTTTTAAGTTCATGGTTGGAACAATTCTATTATATAGCAGTGATGCAATGTAAATGTATATTCACAGCATCACACATGTACATGTAGTCTTGCAGTGAGAGGTCACAGCAAAAAGCGCAAATTTAAAATAAAACTACTGCCAACATTTCACAGTTTAACGTGAAGAGAAGAGAGAGAATTAAAAAGTCATTGACTATAACGTTACATGTACGTGTATCTGCCTTCTTGAATCCGAACTCATGATGTTAGGAGTTAGACATACCTTGTCAGCATTTCATTACTGTAAGAATTACACTTAGTCTAGTAAGGCTGCGATGCCAAGTAGCCATTCAGCTGTTTCTGAAGTTGCCAGAAAAATCGGGAAACTTCCACAAACAAGTTTCAGCTGCCTCAACAAATTAGAAAAGTGAGAACGGAAGGTAAGAGTGACAATGACGGAAATGTAAGGTGTAACCCCGGCACACAGACATGCAGACCACGGATCAGCGACACTCGTCTAAACTCAACATCAGAAATAACCACAGGAACCAGGCCAAATGTAAAATGCAGGTGAGGGCTGGAGACAGTCACAGCATAGAGTCAACAACCTCTGGTACACCTTACAATGAAAATATCAAAAATGCACAGTGTACAGCCTAAGTGTACAATACAGTCCTTATTCTTTCCTACTCAATACAACACAAAGTTAACGACCACTTTTATGCCTCTTACAATGAACATATCAAACCTACAAAGTGTACAACTACAATCCAACCTGCACAAGCCACAGCTTCCATACTCATATAATACAGCACAAAGTGAACAACATCTTTTAAATATCAACCTAGCCCAGTGTATTATCATTCTGTTCAATAATCTAGATTATCCAGAAAAGACTTGATTCTTCCCAAGAAAAATCTAACATGAGATCTGAGAGGAAATGATTTTGTCTAAAGTTATGATCATCATCATCATTGTCCACTGTGTTCTAGTGCTGAGGTAAGTTAGTTAGTTAGTTAGTGAGTTTCTCACCTGCTTGCCGCGGGGGCAGTAGCCGTTGACGAAGTCCTGAGGTAAGTAAGTTAGTTAGTTAGTGTGTGCGTTTCTCACCTGTTTCCCGCGGGGACAGTAGCCGTTTACGAAGTCCTGAGGTAAGTTAGTTAGTTAGCTAGTTAGTTAGTTAGTGTGTGCGTTTCTCACCTGTTTCCCCCTGGGGCAGTAGCCGTTGACAAAGTCCTGAGGTAAGTTAGTTAGTTAGTGCGTTTCTCACCTGTTTCCCCCTGGGGCAGTAGCCGTTGACAAAGTCCTGAGGTTAGTTAGTTAGTTAGTGTGTGCGTTTCTCACCTGTTTCCCCCTGGGGCAGTAGCCGTTGACAAAGTCCTGGCACACCTGCGCGTGGCGGCTGACGTAGACGTGGGAGTACGGGCAGTCGTCACGGTTACACACGCCGCGCAGGAAGTACGAACACACCGGCATCTGGGGGACAAACAAACAATCGTCACGGTTACAGGCAAACAAACAATCGTCACGGTTACACACACCGCGCAGGAAGTACGAGCACACCGGCATCTGGGGGACAAACAAACAAACAGTTGTCACGGTTACAGGCAAACAAACAGTCGTCACGGTTACACACACCGCGCAGGAAGTACGAACACACCGGCATCTGGGGGACAAACAAACAAACAGTCGTCATGGTTACAAACAAACAGTCGTCACGGTTACACACACTGCGCAGGAAATACGAACATACCGGCATCTGCAGGGCAAACAAACAAACAATCATATGTTAAACTATGTCGGTGAAGGTTAGACATCCAGGTAATAAGATATGTCAAAAAACAGTTACTCAAGCAACTGGATATGATTTTGGAAGCGGTCAGACATTTCAGGTAGCATCCACTATCTTTCGCACTATATCTTTTGGTTATTCATGTTTTTCAGTTATGTATTTCAAAATTATGAAAAAATGAAATGTTGACCAAACATCCAACAAAAACTGGGTTTTACACAGATGCAGTATGTTCTATGTGCTACTTACATGTATATCATCATATCAGCTTTCACATTGCAGGTTGCCTGCATATATAGAAGATCTATGGGAAACTTAAATGTACTACACAAAGTTAACATTTTAACTGTTTAACATACATATAAGCCTGTATCACGTATCATGCACATATTGTAGTCACTTTTGTTTCACACTTTTTAAACCTTCTACCCCAGTATTACCCAGATGCTTTGCTATTTTCAGCTGTCTGGAGTGCCAGACTTATCAGCCATCACAAACACACAGGAACACAACTATGCAGGATAATTTTGGAACAGAAAACTCTCCCGCAAAACAGTCCTATTTCTGTGTGCAGGAATGTCGCTTTTTATTTACATTCTGCTGCAATCTCGGGCCGACGAGAGGCCATCTACATTTTTGTGCCATCACGTAAGGATGACGTTCTGACGTAAAACTCCATTCATAGAGCACAAAGCAGTTCCTAATAAAGCAGTAGAGATGGCAGACTTCGCTCCCTTACCCATACAGCTACAGGTACACATCAGAAATACCTGCACAGCCCCAATTTTACCTGCACTAACCTTCATTCTGTAACTTCTGATTTTTTCTCGGTACTTTTATGTTCACTGTTTTCACTGTCACTTCTGTACTATGAACTTATCATTACAGTTAACAAATAATTCCTGAACTTTCTTTTTAATTCATGCACCTGTCATAACCGTGAATATTATTATATAGCTTCGTGAACATGTCAATTTTTCTCAGACTGTGCACTTTTGTAACCCTGAATATAAATTGAGTTACAGTATACCCAGTACATAGACCAGTGTAGGTAAGCTGCAGGTAGACATCAGAAAATAATACATTTACTAACCTGCATATGCAGGTTTTATTTCCAGCCCTGAAGTAAACGTGTATAACACCACAGTACATACAGCAGCACACAGAGGGAGGCTCTAATAGAGACGTATGTTGTTAAAGCGGTGACATATACGGTACATGGACCAGTGCAGGTTAGGTGCAGGTAGACATCAGAAATACCTGCACTGTGGCTGCACAGCATTTTACCTTTACCAACCAGCATATGCAGGTTTTATTTCCAGCCCTGAAGTATAATGTACATACAGCAGCACACAGAGGGAGGCTCTAATAGAGACGTATGTTGTTAAAGCGGTGACATATACGGAGTGATTAGCACACAGATCTGCAGTGTAAATCCCAGCAGTGGGGAAAGGTGAACAGGATTTCCAGCAGGGGGCAGACATCAATTATCCCACAGCAGCCCTGCAAAATTCATGCCTAAAGCCAGACAGCCTGAACCAACGTAATCATAAAATACTGAACATGTTATCAGTGACAGTGAGACAAGTGGCTAAGGTGTGTTAGAGGATAATTACCCAGTTATGTACTTGACTTTGACTTTAGATGATTAATTGTTCTGTGTTTTCTGTGAGGTTTGAGTGATTTGATTTTTAGGCCCTAAATTAGCCTAAGGGTATAATGTAGTTTACTCCACTAGGGTAGTGTAATCTAATGAGGTAGGAACAATATACATGAAAATTTTGTTGGCTTTTCTGATTATTGGTTAAATTTATTATTTTTTTCCTCCTAATTCTAGCTCACTTTAAGATGCTAAGTCACCATTACTTCATTCATTCGTTCTTAGATCCATCTTTATTTTCTATTCTTTTTTCCTTCCCTTTGTTCATCCTGCCTTTGTCTCTATCTTTCTGTCTTATAATTCCATCTTTCTCCATCTATCCCATAAAACTTCTAGCTTATTTCTTCCTACCACACCATCCCTTCACAAAAAGTCAGAGCATTTTTGACGTCCTTTTAGGTGTATTTATTGCGTTTTCTTTCTTGTACCAGTATCTTTTTTCTGCCAGACAAACGGTGGCGTATTGAACAGTCCCCTGCCAATTTGATACTATCCTGTAGGCACCAAAAGATCTGTTCTGAGATTACCCAATCCCTGCCAGTGTTAGAAACCTCCAGTCTCCCTCCCTTCCCTGCCAACATACATCACACACACAGTTAATCAGCCCGCCCTGGAGTGTAGCAGAGACAATGGGCACAAGTGTACACAGCCTGGTATCATGTTTACACTCTTAATAAGGGAACAATGGGCCAGAAAGTGGGGAACAATGAACCAAAAAGTGGATAACAAAAGCCAAAAAGTGGATAACAAAAGCCCAGAAAGTGAGCAACAAAAGCCCAAAAAGTGGGGAACAAAAGGGCAGAAGCAGTTGAACAAAAGGCTTGTAGTGTGAGAGAGGAGAGACGTTGTACAGACAATACTGAGGCCCGGCGTTCCGACAATGTTATCTATAGAATCGACGCTTGGACTATTGAGGATGGGTTTGTGAGGACAACATGTATTGTTCCTGTGCCACAGTGAGCGGACAAAAGCACAGCGGTGGCACATTGTGCTCACTGTCTGGTCCAACTTGTAGCTGCTGGCTGAGGGAACAATTATCATGTCGTTCGGAGTTAGGGACGCTCCAGGACTCCATCGGTAAACTTCAGCGCAATATTGTCGGTCTGTCAAGACATTTTATTTATTTTCATCAACTTTCAACTGCATTTTTTGGGTTCACGAGCAACCGAGTGAAAACGTTCTTTTCCTCTACCCTCTCCCTTCTTGAGTGTTATTTTAGTTCTATCCTATCTCATGATGCTTACTTTAGAATATCCTGGCTCTGTGTAAAAGCATTGCTGCCTGCACAGATGTAATCTCCAAGCAGATCTTTTGGTGGCTGAAGAAAATATGAAATTGGCCGGGCAGTATCCAATATGCCACCATTTGGCTGGCAAAAAAAAGGATACCGGTACCAAAAAGAAAACCTGATAGAAATGCCTAAAATATGTCAAAAAGAAGCCGTAACCTAAACCTCTGCTTGGAGAGGATGCAGATGTACTGTAGGTCCTGTAGTTTTTCTTCATCACCACTCTGTTTAAGGTCAAGAATTGGGCTGTACAGCCACACAAGGGCCTGTAGCAGAGGACAACCTTCCTAGAATCTTTGGACACGAAGCACCAGCCATCACCGCTCTGCTTCACCTCCAAGCAGATCCCTCGGTGGTAAAAAGACAGTATCAAATTGGCCAGGCAGTATCCATTAGCCAGAGAAGGTCGCCGGCCACCGACGGGTTGGTGAGGGTAGCGACAAAAAAAAACCGGCCATATATAAGAAGCTAACGATCATTCCCCACAACCTCTGCTTGGAGAGTACACTCTGCTTCACCACTCTCGGCTGCACCGCACACCCTGACGGTTTGTGACATCGCCAAGCCACAACATCACGCCAAATCTGTGTCAACCCACGACCTTGCCTGCCCTTGATTGTTCTGTAACAATGGGGGAGGGGGGCAGACACTTGCGGCGGGGGCGTGACGGATCCCCTGTCAGCGTGCGGCCTGGCGCCGGGCCAGCGCGGGTACACCTGGCCGGGAGACGGTAACCACGGCGATAACACCTGGCCGGGGAGCCGGTAACCACGGCGATAACGGAGGCTACACCTGGTCAGAGAGCCGGTAACCACGGCGATAACGGAGGCTACACCTGGTCATAGAGCTGGTAACCATGGCGATAACACCTGGCCGGGAGACGGTAACCATGGTGATATAATCATGATGTTGGGACGGGAACATAAATTCCCTGGTTTGTCAATGATGGTTACGGTGGGACGTGTCAAGAAGGAAGTTTGAAGTTCAAGGTCATGGATCTCACAAGAATCATGTGGTAGAATGACCTTGGAGTGGACTAAGGCTGGATACTTAAGACACTATTTCAAAGCCACACTCAAGGACAAAACCTGTTCAACGACAGATTCTGTAACTGATGAAAAGTAGTGGATCAAAGTTTTCAAAATCTATCCAGTTGCTTGAGATGGGTTAACATTTTCTTGTGTATCTCATTACCTGGATGTCTAACCTTCATGGATATCAAGAACAAAGTAGGAATCCAATTCTTCCTCAGACATAAAACCTTCAGGCCAGGCTTGAATTATTGTCTGGTAAGACTGAAATCTCATCTTCCATTCAGAACATCCCAAACACCCAGCTAAGCCAGTCCCAGTCTGATACATGCAGCTCCTGTTGTGTCTTAAGTCTGTGCTAACAAAACAACAACAACAACAACCCCGGTCTCCGCAGGGCAGAATCCTTACATCAACAGCTGAGAGGAAGTGCAGACATGGGAAAGACGAGGGGACAATAGTCGTCAGGACGGTATCCATAACCTCTCAGGAGTATTGTTTATCAGTAATATCATAACAAACATCACAACAACAACACCAGGGGATCTGCCTAAGCCTTGGACAGGGCAAGTCAGCCCAGGAGGATTATGGGAACAATACGCTGTAAAAACTGGGAGCAGCCAGAGGAGGAAGTCAGAGGCAGGGTTTCAGATGGCTCAGGATCACCTGGAAAGAACCTGAGGATGTTATGGTAGGCTGAAAGGG